CCTTAAACTGTTTCTGCTCTGTTCACTGAAGCAACAGAACAATACGTGGAAAATAAATATCAGTGCCAACAGCCACGAGTGTGTGGACACACACCACTTTGGTTAAACTATGTTATTAACCACAATATTACTACCTAGATTATTAACTATACTCCATCAACCAGTGAACCGCTGTGTACATGGATAAATGAAAATACATCTGCGTGTAGTCCACTGCTGCTAACACATCACATCGGACCAGGATCCATTATTTATACTCGTTAATGAGGTTTTCTCCTGATGGCACCGCGGACGGACCAACGTCAAACAAACGCTCCTTTGCGTTACTGTGAAAAGATGCGTACTTCCGGTTTAGCTGCTTCCAAGTTTCGTTTTATAGGAAAAAAAGAAAAAAAGAGATTTATGTGTTAGTTGTAGAAGTCGGACGTTTTTCTCGTGTTTTGATTTTAAAACAAAAAAAGAGAAGACGGTGGTGTTTCCGTATTTCGTTTAGACGGTACAATCCGTTTAGAAGGAGCACAGAGGAGCAGCTATGAGTCCATCAGCCGGTGGATTAGTCGTCTTCCTTCTCTCTGTACAAGGTACTGTACTTCTACATTTATATTGTGAGGCCGTTACACACCTCACACACACACAGGGAGCTGTGTTGTTACTTCACACACAGGTCTGATGTCATCACACACAAATAATGACTAAATGAACATTAACAAAGAAGAAATGCTCTGAATAATTTGTCTCTGTTGAACTTCCTCTAATCGTTCAGCAGCGTTTCTTTGCATTAGACCACATTTAGAGGCTGTTATTCACTCCGAGTCTCTGACGACGTTTGTTCTTCTGTTTGGAGCATTTTATTGTGTATTTGTGGTCATTTTTATTCTCTTCCTGGTTGTTCAGTGTCTCTTTGAGGGACATTTTGCAGCTTTGATCCGTGTCACAGATAATTGATTCACTGCCGGATGCTGAAAAGTCACATTCTGTGGTTTTAGACAAATAGATATTGTTTTGGAAAATTCTATTTTGACTTTTGAAAGCCAGTCGAGTCTTAAAACACTTCTTATCAGTGACGTGTGATCTAATCAGCACATAAATGGCACCTTTTGGGGGGGAAGTGGGAAAATGTGCGTTTCTTTGCTGCCATTTTGTCAAAAATTGAGCAAATATGGGCGGTTTCTTGTTTTTGTGTGTGTGTGTGAGGGCACATCCTATTATTTTGCATGTTATCATACAAGGGTCAAAGGCGTTGGCGTGCAGAGGGGTGATTTAATTAATCATACGTGTGTTAATAAAGGTATCTGGGCATTTGATGTGGTTTCGACCGGAAAATGCATCTGCCCCCGTGGTTACCATGGTTACCATAGTCGTCCATTGTTTGATTAAATAATGCAGCTAAAAGCTTATGTCAATTGTGTCAAAATGGCGGCCAAATTGCCTGAACAGACACACGTGCATTTTCACACTTTCCCCCCAAAGGAGCCGTTCATATTCTACTAATCTATATGTCACAGTATCGTTCCCCTCAGAGTTCTGCATTTCTCTACAGTTTCCATCTCCACTCTGCAGCAGACTGACCACAGACAGAAGAGCACAGAGCAAAGACACTCTTCTTCTCATCAACCAAACCCTTCTAATACTTCAACTTGAGCTTTTTCAGGTCCACAGGTTCAATACGTCGCTGTTCCTTCCAGCTGCAGAGTCCATGTGGACATCGTGGACTCTTTCATTACTTTCTATAAACTCAATGATTTTCATATTTCTCATCATATCTTTTCTCTTCAGTAAACTACCAATGAGAGTGTGTCCTGTGATGTTGTTCTGAGTGTGACTGTGGTTCCTGATGTGCTGTGTTACAGTGATACAGAGTCAGGATGGATGGGGAGTGAATTACCGTCAGACGGACATCTGTGCTGTAAAAGGATCAACAGTGTATATAAGCTGCATCATCAAACACCCATCTGGAAAATATCCCTCTGATATAAAGGACAGATTCTGGTTCACTAAAGAGAAAGATGGTGAACCTGTGGATCTGAGAACAGACTCTGAGTATTCAGGCCGTGTGGAGTATGATTGTTATACAAAGGGTTGCACTCTGATCATCAAAGACCCGAGAAAAAGCGACTCAGCTGAGTACAAATTCACATTCATGACAAGCAAATCAGGAGAGAAATATACTGGTTCACCTGGAGTCACTTTGTCTGTCAAAGGTAACATTTTAATTCACATAATAATCATCTCCACATCTTCAACATCTAGAAAACCAGAGAATAAATGTCTTCTGTGAATGTTGACACTTTAATAAATAATATTCACAGATTCAGGTTTCCAGGTGCAGGTGAGAAGATCAGATTCTACCTGGTTGGAGCTGACGTGTCCCAGCAGCTGTGTTCTGTCTGATCGTGCTGAATACGACTGGTCCAAAAATGGAGAGATCATCAAGAGAGGATCTTCTCTTCGAGTCTCCTCTGGTTCTACAGACAGATATTCCTGTTATTTAAGAGGATCTTGGGATAACGGTTCTCCTGCAGTGTGTAAGTTCACTCCACTGTGTCGGCCTGTGGAGCTTCAACAACATCTCACATGGAGGCACCAGACCGCTGCATGTAAACTAGAGGCATCAAAAAGATGAAGCACAACGTTCCTCAGGAGGTGGAGCCGTGGTCCACTGACCAGAGGGTTGCTGGTTCAATCCCCGGCAGTCTACGTGTAGAAGAGTCACTCACACACTGACACAACAATATGATTCTAATCACAGCTGTAAACACACTGGAGTCTAAATGTTAAAGGAGACACAGATCTTTATTTATGTCATTCTCTTATTAATAGAAACACAAATATAAACCATCAGCAGACAGAATAATGTGATTTTCATAAAGACTCAAGTGAATTATTCCAGAACATAAGTAGAAGTGACGTGTCAGCTGGTGGAGGAAACAATCAATAACTCCTACAACAACTAGAAGTGAGAGGACAGACTCAGCTAAAGACACAAGCAGCATCTAAAGAGAATAATGTGTGGAGATATTATCACAGCTCAGACAGAGACCCAAACGCAGATGTGAGGATTATTGAATGTCTTTAAATGAAGTGGAATTCGGGCAGGCAGTGTCGTTGTCGGAGGCAGGCAGGGGTCAGTACACAGGGGATCTCTAGAATCAACTGGGAACTACGAGGATACAACGCTGGTGAGACCTGGTGAAACACACAAGACGAACTGGCAACAAGAACAGGGAGAAGACACAGGTTATATGCCCAAGGGATAATTGACAAACAGGGAACACCATGGTGTGGGAGGAGACAGGGGGAAAACAGGTGAACACAATTAGGGCGGGACAGATATCAACATTACAAAGGATTAAAGGCTGCTTATTGTCACTTTACACCTGCAGGAGTCTCACCTGTGACAGCCGCTGTGATGAATAATACATTACATTACATGTCATTTAGCTGACGCTTTTATCCAAAGAACTCAGAAGAACAAGAAACAAGGAAGTGCAATTTCCTCAAGCCAATTTACAATTTGCTATAGATGAGTGGTGTTATAAGTACAATTTAAGTGCTCGTCTTTTAGTCGAGGCAGAGTCTGAAGAGGTGTGTCTTTAGTTTGCGGCGGAAGATGTGAAGGCTCTCTGCGGCCCTGGTGTCTTCAGAGAGCTCGTTCCACCATTTCGGAGCAAGGACAGTGAAGAGTCGAGATCTAGTCGAGTGTTTTGCTCTCAGTGAGGGAGGGACGAGCAGTTTAGCAGATGCAGAGCGGAGAGTGCGGGTTGGGATGTCGGGTTTGACCATGTCCTGGATGTAAGCTGGACCCGATCCATTCACAGCATGGTACGTGAGCACCAATGTTTTGAACCTGATGCGGGCGGCCACCGGTAGCCAGTGAAGAGAGCGGAGGAGTGGAGTAGTGTGGGAGAATTTAGGAAGGTTAAAGACCAGTCGAGCTGCTGCATTCTGGATGAGCTGCAAAGGTCGAATGGCGGTGGCAGGGAGACCTGCCAGGAGCGAGTTGCAGTAGTCCAGGCATGAGATGAGAAGAGCTTGAATAAGTACCTGCACTGCCTTCTGAGTGAGAAGGGGGCGTGTTCTCCTGATGTTGTAGAGAGTGTATCCACAGGATCGTGTTGTCGCAGTGATGTTGGGAGTCAGGGAGAGTTGGCTGTCGAGTGTGACGCCGAGGTTCCTAGCAGTTAAAGTGGGCGTTAACACAGAGTTGCCAAAGTTGACCATCAAGTCCTGGGTCGGAGAATCTTTTCCAGGAAAGAGAAGTAGTTCAGTCTTGTCGGGGTTGATTTTCAGATGGTGGGCGGACATCCACTAAGAGATGTCATTTAGACAGGCCGAGATCCGCGCCGCCACCTGGGTGTCCGAGTGAGGGAAGGAGAGAATTAGTTGGATGTCATTGGCATAGCTGTGATAGGAGAAGCCATGCGAGCGAATGACAGTGCTTATATAGTTGGTGTAGGGCGAGAAGAGAAGGGGACCCAGGACGGAACCCTGAGGAACTCCAGTAGTAAGAGGACATGGTTCCGACACAGATCCTCTCCAGGTTGTCCGCTAGGTGCGAACGTCAAGGTAGGATGAGAGAAGGGAGTGAGCGAAGCCTGAGACACCAAGTTCCTGAAGAGAGGAAATGAGGATCTGGTGTTTGACTGTGTCAAATGCAGCGGAGAGGTCCAGAAGGATGAGGACAAAGGAAAGAAGGGCGGCTCTAGCAGTGTGGAGTTGCTCTGAGACAGCAAGGAGAGCAGTCTTTGTGGAATGGCCTGCCTTGAAGCCTGACTGGTGGGGGTCAAGGAGGTTGTTATGGTGGCGATAGGAAGAGAGTTGGTTAAAGATCGCACGTTGAAGAGTTTTGGACAAAAAGGGAAGAAGAGAGACCGGTCTGTAGTTGTTTTCTTCAGAAGGGTTGAGGGTAGGTTTCTATCTAGGATCAACTATCTACGCTAACATCTTCTAACCTTTTAGGATGTTTCTTAATGTCTCCTCCAGATGGTCCATGGCGTCCCTCTGTGTCAGTGAGTCCCTCTGCTGAGATGCTGGAGGGCGATTCATTGACTCTTACCTGTAGCACTGATGCTAACCCAGCAGCTAACTACACCTGGTACAAGGAGGCTGGAACGTCAGACCCTCGTATTCTCAGTGAAAAACCTCAGCTGATCTTCAGCTCCATCCAGTCCTCTGATTCTGGAAGGTATTTCTGTACAGCTGAGAACCAGCTGGGGAGGAAGAGGTCTGAATTCATCTCTATCAATGTGAAATGTGAGTGAAACACAACCTTTTTAAAAGCAGTATAATCACGACTAAGATGGTGTTTTGTTATGAACCTTTATTTATTTACATTACATTATATGTCATTTAGCTGACACTTATCCAAAGTGACTCATTATAAGTGCAGAGGTCGAATGGCGGTAGCAGGGAGACCTGCCAGGAGGGAGATGCAGTAGTCCAGGCGGAAGATGACAAGAGCCTGAATCAGTACCTGCGCTGCCTTCTGAGTGAGAAGGGGACGTATTTTCCTGATGTTGTAGAGCGTGTATCTACAAGATCGTGTTGTCGCAGTAATGTTGGGAGTCAGGGAAAGTTGGCTGTCAAGTGTCACGCCGAGGTTCCTAGCAGTCAAAGTGGGCGTTAACACGGAGTTGCCAAAGTTAACAGTCAGGTCCTGAGCCGGAGAATAATTTCCTTGAAGGAGATGTAGTTCAGTCTTGTCGGGGTTGATTTTCAGATGGTCAGCGGACATCCACTGAGAGATGTCAGACGGACAGGCAGAGATCTGTGCCGCCACCTTCCACTGAGAGATGTCAGACGGACAGGCAGAGATCTGTGCCGCCACCTGGGTGTCCGAGTGAGGGAAGGAGAGAATTAGTTGGATGTCATTGTCATAGCTGTGATAGGAGAAGCCATGCGAGCGAATGACAGTGCTTATATAGTTGGTGTAGGGCGAGAAGAGAAGGGGACCCAGGACGGAACCCTGAGGAACTCCAGTAGTAAGAGGACAAGGTTCCAACACAGATCCTCGCCAGGTTACCCGGTAGGTGCGGCCGTCGAGGAAGGACTAGAGAAGGGAGTGAGCGAAGCCTGAGACACCAAGTTTCTGAAGGGAGGAAATGAGGATCTGGTGGTTGACTGTGTCAAATGCAGCGGAGAGGTCCAGAAGGATGAGGACAAAGGAAAGAAGGGCGGCTCTAGCAGTGTGGAGTTGCTCTGAGACAGCAAGGAGAGCAGTCTTTGTGGAATGGCCTGCCTTGAAGCCTGACTGGTGGGGGTCAAGGAGGTTGTTATGGTGGCGATAGGAAGAGAGTTGGTTAAAGATCGCACGTTGAAGAGTTTTGGACAAAAAGGGAAAGAAGAGAGACCGGTCTGTAGTTGTTTTCTTCAGAAGGGTTGAGGGTAGGTTTCTTGAGGAGAGGGTTAACTCTTGCCTCCTTCAGATAGAGATATAGTCTGAGAGAAAGACACACAAGTATTAATTCAAATGATCAACTATCTACGCTAACATCTTCTAACCTTTTAGGATGTTTCTTAATGTCTCCTCCAGATGGTCCACGGCGTCCCTCTGTGTCAGTGAGTCCCTCTGCTGAGATGCTGGAGGGCGATTCATTGACTCTTACCTGTAGCACTGATGCTAACCCAGCAGCTAACTACACCTGGTACAAGGAGCATGGGACGTCAGACCCTCGTCTTGTCAGTGAAAAACCTCAGCTGATCTTTAGCTCCATCCAGTCCTTTGACTCTGGAAGGTATTTCTGTGCAACTGAGAACCGGCTGGGGAGGAAGAGGTCTGACTTCATCTTGATCCCTGTGAAATGTGAGTGAAACACAACCTTTTTAAAGGCAACATAATCACTACTAATATAGTGTTTTGTCATAAACCTCTATTTATTTAACCCTAACTTGTAATATTTATGTTTACACGTCTCCTCCAGATGGTCCACGGCGTCCCTCTGTGTCAGTGAGTCCCTCTGCTGAGATGCTGGAGGGCGATTCATTGACTCTTACCTGTAGCACTGATGCTAACCCAGCAGCTAACTACACCTGGTACAAGGAGCATGGGACGTCAGACCCTCGTCTTGTCAGTGAAAAACCTCAGCTGATCTTTAGCTCCATCCAGTCCTTTGACTCTGGAAGGTATTTCTGTGCAACTGAGAACCGGCTGGGGAGGAAGAGGTCTGACTTCATCTTGATCCCTGTGAAATGTGAGTGAAACACAACCTTTTTAAAGGCAACATAATCACTACTAATATAGTGTTTTGTCATAAACCTCTATTTATTTAACCCTAACTTGTAATATTTATGTTTACACGTCTGCTCCAGATGGTCCACAGCGTCCCTCTGTTTCAGTGAGTCCCTCTGCTCAGATGGTGGAGGGTGATTCAGTGAATCTGACCTGTAGCACTGATGCTAACCCAGCAGCTAACTACACCTGGTACAAGGAGGCTGGAACGTCAGACCCTCATCTTCTCAGTGAAGAACCTCAGCTGTTCTTCAGCTTTATCCGGTCTTCTGACTCTGGATTGTATTCCTGTACAGTTGAGAACCAGCTGGGGAGGAAGACCTCTGAATTTATCTCTATCGATGTGAAATGTGAGTGAAACACAACCTTTTTAAAAGCAGTATAATCACGACTAAGATGGTGTTTTGTTATGAACCTTTATTTATTTACATTACATTATATGTCATTTAGCTGACACTTATCCAAAGTGACTCATAAGTGCAGAGGTCGAATGGCGGTAGCAGGGAGACCTGCCAGGAGGGAGATGCAGTAGTCCAGGCGGGAGATGACAAGAGCCTGAATCAGTACCTGCGCTGCCTTCTGAGTGAGAAGGGGACGTATTTTCCTGATGTTGTAGAGCGTGTATCTACAAGATCGTGTTGTCGCAGTAATGTTGGGAGTCAGGGAAAGTTGGCTGTCAAGTGTCACGCCGAGGTTCCTAGCAGTCAAAGTGGGCGTTAACACGGAGTTGCCAAAGTTAACAGTCAGGTCCTGAGCCGGAGAATAATTTCCTTGAAAGAGAAGTAGTTCAGTCTTGTCGGGGTTGATTTTCAGATGGTCAGCGGACATCCACTGAGAGATGTCAGACGGACAGGCAGAGATCTGTGCCGCCACCTGGGTGTCCGAGTGAGGGAAGGAGAGAATTAGTTGGATGTCATTGGCATAGCTGTGATAGGAGAAGCCATGCGAGCGAATGACAGTGCTTAGATAGTTGGTGTCGAGCGAGAAGAGGAGGGGACCCAGGACGGAACCCTGTGGAACTCCAGTAGTAAGAGGACATGGTTCCGACACAGATCCTCTCCAGGTTGTCCGCTAGATGCCAAACGTCAGGGTAGGATGAAGAGAAGGGAGTGAGCGACGCCTGAGACACCAAGTTTCTGAAGGGAGGAAATAAGGATCTGGTGGTTGACTGTGTCAAATGCAGCGGAGAGGTCCTGAAGGATGAGGACAAAGGAAAGAAGGGCGGCTCTAGCAGTGTGGAGTTGCTCTGAGACAGCAAGGAGAGCAGTCTTTGTGGAATGGCCTGCCTTGAAGCCTGACTGGTGGGGGTCAAGGAGGTTGTTATGGTGGCGATAGGAAGAGAATTGGTTAAAGATCGCACGTTGAAGAGTTTTGGACAAAAAGGGAAGAAGAGAGACCGGTCTGTAGTTGTTTTCTTCAGAAGGGTTGAGGGTAGGTTTCTTGAGGAGAGGGTTAACTCTTGCCTCCTTCAGATAGAGATATAGTCTGAGAGAAAGACACACAAGTATTAATTCAAATGATCAACTATCTACGCTAACATCTTCTAACCTTTTAGGATGTTTCTTAATGTCTCCTCCAGATGGTCCATGGCATTCCTCTGTGTCAGTGAGTCCCTCTGCTCAGATGCTGGAGGGCGATTCATTGACTCTTACTTGTAGCACTGATGCTAACCCAGCAGCTAACTACACCTGGTACAAGGAGGCTGGAACGTCAGACCCTCGTCTTCTCAGTGAAAAACCTCAGCTGATCTTCAGCTCCATCCAGTCCTCTGATTCTGGAAGGTATTTCTGTACAGCTGAGAACC